GCAGTAACAGGTGTACTTGTGCTGCAGTAACAGGTGTACTTGTGCTGCAGTAACAGGTGTACTTATACGGCAGTAACAGGTGTACTTGTATTGCAGTAACAGGTGTACTTGTATTGCAGTAACAGGTGTAGTTGTACTCCAGCTGTGGCTGAAGGTGTGTTTTGTTGCTGGGGAAGACTCCGGTCCTGCCTCACCTCTCTTCAGCCTCACCCTCATCACTAAAACCACAGCCAGCCAATCAGAAAAATCCGTCCATGCGTTGCTAGGCAGGATGCGCGCGTCAGCAGCCAATCGGATTGGGCGGACCGGGAGCGGGCGCAGCGAGCTGAGACAGACCGAGTGACAGCGCCTGAGTCCCGGGGAAGAAGCTCACGGAGTCTCCGTGAAAAAACGTGCCTACAGCACAGTCAAGATGCCGAACAAAACCAAGAAGGAGAAGGTGAGCTGGCGGCGTCTTCACCGCCACATCAGTCATTTAAGTATCAAACATGGCGGCTTTGAAGCAGCTGATGAAGACTTTGTATTTGATCGAGTAGCGCTAGCTAACATAGCAACCTGCTAAGGCCCCGCTAGCAGAGGACGGCTAAGCTAACCGCTAGCTGCGGAGTTTGTAGCGGCGGTATAAATGTGTGTGTCAGCTGGTGAGACACAGAAGTCGGGTTAAAGGACACATTACCGGCGGTGTCCCGGTGTTACAGCGGTAAACCGAGGTGTTAGCCGGCAGGTAGCGTCCTCGCTAACTAGCTAACGTTAGCTGCAGAGATGGAGGGGCTGCTGCAGCTGGAGCTCCGGGGAGGAACCGCTGCTTCCTCACCGTAAATTATTCATCCAGGAGAAAACAGGCAGATGAAAGTGTGACTCATTCATTCATGTGTGTCGTCATTAAATATGTAAGATGTGATGCTAACCAGCTGAGAGCCGAGGACACACAGCAGGTTAGCTGTTAGCTCAGCCACACTCCGTTAGTTTGTCTGCTGATGTTCGCTTATGATGACCGAACAGGACACACACCGTCCAGCTGTTTGTTATTCACAGCTGGAACACTCAAGTACTCATACTGCCGTGTACTCATACTGCCGAGTACTCATACTGCCGAGTACTCATACTGCCGTGTACTCATACTGCCGTGTACTCATACTGCCGTGTACTCATACTGCCGAGTACTCATACTGCCGAGTACTCATACTGCCG